TAAGATGTGCTATACCTTTGGATATGTTAATGTGTTCTTTCCTCTTCTCAGAATTCATCTCTTCTCAGGCTCATGTAAACCTTGTTAACTTTTTCTATTCAATATTTAAAACTCACTTCAGGCAGCAGCTTCTTTGGGCAGTCTTTTTTGGCTTGAAAAATGTTTTCCAAATTTGTTGATCGTTTGTCTTATCATTGATGTTATACTTTATTTGTAGTAATAATTACTTTATGGTTTTTTGACAGGCATTCATGCATTCGCTCATTAAATAAATATTCAGCCACCTACTTTGTGCTAGGCATCGACCCAAGCACTGGGGATACAGTTGTGGATGACACGGAGAGATCCCTGAAACATGGAGCTTGCCATCTGGATGACTGAATATATATTCAGTATTTTACATATTAAAATGTGTTTTTGCTTCATTTGTGAAGAGATTAGTGGAGAAAGATAAAATATTTGGTCTTTGAAGATGTGATAAGTAATGGTATTACATCTGTATGTAAACATTGACATTCTCATTCTGTAATAGCATTAAAAATCTGATGAGCCGGGCTCGGTGGTTCAGCCTGTAATCCTGCACCTTGGGAGGCTGAGGTGAGTGGACTGCCTGAGCCCGCGGGTTCGAGACCCACCTGGGCAACTTGGCGAGACCTCATCTCTACAATAAATTAAAGTGAGCCGGGCGTGGTACCGCGCGCCTGTATTTCCAGCTACTTGGAAGGCTGAGGCGGAAGGATGGCCGGAGCCCAGCAAGTCGAGGCTGCGTTGGCCGCGAGCGACCACTGCACTCTAGTCTGGGCAACAGAATGAGACTCCAACTCAAAAAAAAAAAAAAAAAAAATCTGATGACACATGGAACTATGTCAGATATGCTAAAAATTTTTACTTTTATTCATTGTACTTGGTTATGTGTGGTTTTCATCTACGGCTCCCGGTTCATAACTACCATAGCCCTTGCGACAGTCTTTTGTCATTATGTCAGGGCACCTTAGGCCTCAGAAGAAGGCCTCAGAAAACAGAGTCTCTGTATCTGACCTTTTCCTGCCCTCCTTTCACCTGCTCCTTCCTTTCTTCAAGACAGGAATCTTTCCTCCCTTCTGTCTTGGAGCTGGCCATAAAGAAATTCTCTGACCTACCTTGTCTGATTGTAGATCATAAGACCTTCATTTCAGAAGGGTTTCTGCCCCATGCCCTGGAGGAAGGAATCCTGCAGAGAGGCCAGGAAGAATCTGAACAGACTGGCCTTGCTAGGTTACTCATTCCATTGGTATTAGATCATACCCTTTTTTGTCCAATCACATTTCTACACGATTATCTGTCATACCTATGCCATGAAGTCGCTGTAAAAAGCCCAAGAGGAAAAGGTTTCAGGAAGTGATCAGCTAGTTGAACACCTGGAGGCTCCTGAAGGGTAGCAGGCTTGTGGAGTGGAAGGCATAGCAACTCTGCATTCTTTCCCCTATACCTCACGCTGATCATCTCTTCCATAGTATCCTTTGTAATATCCTTTATAATTAACCAGGAAACATGTTTCCCTGAGTTCTGTGAGCCACTCTAGCAAATTAATTGAACCCCAAAAAGGCATCAGGGAACCCCAACTTGAAGCTGGTCAGTCAGAAGTTCCAGAGGCAGCACTTGTGACTTATGGGAGGAGGTTGATTTGTGGGAAGAGGGTGGCAGTTTTGCAGGCCTGAGCTCTCAACCTATGGAATCTGTTGTTGTCTCAGATATCTCCATGATACTTCTGGTGTCTGCTGCAGAACTGATTATTTGCTTGGTGTGGTATGAGGAGAAGCCCCTACACATTTTATCACTATCGTGTTGATTGTTGTTGTGGTGTGAGAGCAGAGGAGAAACGCAGTTTGTGTTTTTTCCACTCTTAAGTAAGTTTACATTCAGTATGAGAAATTTGTTCAGAATTTTGTTTTCCAAAAAGAGGCACTTGGACCTTCAGTATGGTATCATGTAGAAGTGATTTCATTGTCATGTAGATGGTTAGATTAAATCATTATTTTATTTTATTTTTTACATTTGCTGCTTTCATAATTTTATTTGCTTAGACATTGTCATCTATCATCAGGTATAGTGAAACCACTGTTTTATAACCTACCACAGAATTTCTCAGTGTCTTTCTTGGGTTAGTCAGACTGTGGGATATTTTACAATGTTACACAAAGAAAGCATTTTGTGATTACATTAAAATTTTTTTTTTATTTGCAGGCCTGCTTGGTCCTTTACTATGCTATTTAGTATGACTCCCTAAGAAAGATTCATGTAACAAATAGTATTTCACAGAAGTCTTTGACCAAGAAACTCTTTATTTCATGGAGTATCTTGTGAAACTGTCAGTGGGACACTCAGTGTGAAATGCTGATTTTAATATTGGGTTTCATGCTGATAGGTATTTGAATTCATTACAGTACTAGAATTCTCCTTCACACTCCTCCTCTCCTTGAATCCAACACTATATTTTATATTAAAAATAATCATTTTTAATGATTATTTATCATGATCAAGTAGGGTTTATCTCAGAAATGAATATTGGTTTAACAGTTTAAAATGAATCAATATAATCAAACATTTTTAACAAACTAAAAATACCTATGTAATCATTTCAACAGACACAGGAAAAGCATTTGACAAAAATCTAACATATATTATTTGTAAAAACTTTCAGCAAAGTAAGAATAGAAAGGAATTATCAACCTGATAAATCTGGGTATTTGTAAAAAAAGTATGACTAACATGGTACTCAATGGCAAAAGACTGAGTACTTTTCCCCTAAGATGAGGAACAAGAAAAGAATGTCTGTTCTCTACTTCTATTCATTGTACTGGAGGTTCCAACTTCTGTAACAAGACAAAAATCTACAAAACATCTACTTGGACAATTGTATTTCTGCAGTCAAATGCTCTACCACTGAGCTATACTCTCTGAAATCAATTGCATTTCCATATGCTGACAATAATCAGAAAATTAAATGGAAGTAACTCATTATTTGCAATAATATCAAAAAACATAAAACACTTAGGAAATAATCTAGAAAAAAATGTTAAATACTACTATATTGAAACTGAAACATATTACTGAAAAATTAAACTTAAAATAAATGAGATATTCTGTGTTCATGGGTTTCAACACCCAATATTAAGATGTTAGTTCTCCCAAATCGATCTATAGAGTCAATGTAATCCCAAACAAAATCCCAAGTCTTTTTTTTAAACAGAAACAGGCAGACTGAGTCTAAAATTTGTATGGAAATTAGATGTGTAATTAAGTAGATATCAAGACTTTCTAATAAAGCTATAATCTTAGTGGTGTAATTATATACAGTAATACTAATATACATACTGTATTGCATAGGGTAGTATGGGAATTTGTGTAGATAAATAAACCAACCAAAGGAACAGAGAAAAAAGTGAAGTATATGTATATATATACATATATATACATATTTTAGATAGATATTCAACACACAGTCACCTGATATTTGACAAAGCAGCAGTGCAGTATGGTAAAGGATCATTTTTTGGTATATTATTTGAGGTCAATTGAATATCCATAAGGAAAAACAAATAGTGATTTTGCCTTATACAAAAAATTTAGTTCCAGTAGGATTGTAGAACAAATATGGAAGATAAAAAATTAAAGCTTACATTAGAAACATATATGGCCACATAGAGCAGAGAAATAATTCATAAATAGTACACAAAGCATTACTTAGCATTACAAAGATTGATTACTTAGACTTCATTTAAAATTATGAATTTCTGTTATTAGCTAATTGAAATATACCATTGGGGAAATTTTAAAAAGGCAAGTCGCAGGGTAGAAGAAGATATTTGTAATACAAATGAACCATGTCCAGACTATTTTTATTGCTTTTTAAAGAGTACATTGAAAAAAAATGTGGTACATATACATGATGGAATATTATGCAGCCATAAAGAAGGACAAAATTATGAACTTTGCAGCAACTTGGGTGGACTTAGAGTTTATAATACTGGTGATCTATCACATAAACAAAGAGCCAAGTATCACATGTTCTTACTCATTAGCAGACCTTGAACAACTATCATAATACTATAAGAAAGGGATTGGCAGCAGTGGGAAACTACCAAGGGAGGGAGAGGGCACAAGTTCATCAACAAGGGTACCTGCATAATGAACATTTGTATACCTAAACCTGAGTTGTACCCCGCATATTCAAAAGAAAAAAAAAAAAGAGTACGTTGAAGTAAAAATGTGTTTTAGTTAATCCTATTAAAAAGCACTCTAGTTTTTTGAGTCATAGATTTTAGTCATAAAAGAACATTTATAAAGAACCTAAAAACACTTGGTGTTGAAGAGTCTGTACTGTAGTTTCTGGTGTCGTTCCAAGAATTATGTCTCATTTATATTTTAATTTTTGGGTCTTGTGTGATGACTGGCATATAATTGCTCTTCAGCCTATGTTTGCTGAATTAATGGATGAATGCTTTTAAAAAGTATGCATAAAATAGTAATCTCTCCCATATGAGGACTAGCTTTTTAAGTGTAAACCTAAAAAAATCACAATAAACATTACAGTTAGATAAAAAAATAAAAGTTCTCACATTTTTAAAATATGAAGATAAGGTGCATTTTAAGGAGTAAAATATTGAGCGTAATTATAGGGAATTTACCATGGTATTTATCTTTCATACTGGGAAGAATAAAGGGAAGTATCTGATCTACAAGGCAGAATGAAGAAGAGGGAATTTCATCAGGGAAATAGGATTTTTTAAGTACACAGTGCTACTTTGGAGAAGTGGAAATGGCTGAGATAGTGACTAGTTTTTGTGTGAGCTAAACAGAGCTAGGATTTAGCAAATAACAAAAGTAAGAGTGTGGGATATCTTAATAACTTTGAGGCATCAAGTAAATCTTTAGACTTGAATTCATGTGTCAGACATACAATGAATGACATGAATTAGTAATGATAGCATTATTTACATTTAAATTGTACATTTTTTGCAGAGTTCTAAAGGTCCTGTTGCTTCAGACAATGGATGAGCAATCACAAGGAATGCAAGGACCACCTGTTCCACAATTCCAGCCACAGGTAATTTATTCTAATTAGGGTGGGCAGAAGACTATATTGCCTATATTAAATATGTGTAAGTAAGGAAGCAGTACATTTAAAATTCCTTTAGGCAATCAGGTAACCAAAAAAATGCTAATTATGGATTTCTAAGTTTTAGTTAGAATTGTTTTTGGTTTTGTTTTTCAATTTTGTTTTGCTTTATTTTTGGTTTTTATGTGTAATTGACGTCAGGTGTAATTAGTACACATTTTAAGTGTAATTATGTATAATATATATTTTTATTTTTCAATTGACACACTGTAGTTGTACATGTTTATGGGTCAAAATTTGATATTTTGGTATAATTCTTGGTTTTAAATTTTGTTTGATAATGCTTAGTTTTTATGTACAAACATGAAAACAAAAGGGTGACTTTATTTGAATGACCTACAGCCTATAAGGGTTCATATTAGGTTGAAGGAGAGGACAAAAAGTAAAGGTAAGGCCATGCCCAGGTTTGGGAGTACCTGTACATTTTGTACATGGCCCCCCTTTTGTGGGCTGATCTTGCCGTAACTTCCTTCCATTACTGTTACTTTCTCTCTCTCTCTCTCTCTCTCTCTCTCACTCGTAGTATATTTTTTTCTGTTATGTGGCTGCTTGTTTTTTGTAACATAAAATGAAGTAAGAAGAATGGTTTAGTAAAAAATGCACCTCATCAATAAGGGTACTTGCACAATGAACATTTGTATACCTAACCCTGAATTGTGCCCCACAATTTCAAAATAAAAATTAAAAAAAAAGTTCACGTTACTGAAATTCATTTAGCATTCTGCATTCATTATAAATCATTGTTATAAAGTTCAACGTATAATCATATGTTTAAAATAGCAAATACTGCCGTATGTAAGGGCACTACGTCATTTCTATTGTTCATAAAGACTGCATTTCTCTGCTTGGTGTTTGACAATATGTTTCAAATATGCTCTGCTAGCCTTGTCGTCCCAATTTTGCTTGGATGGTATTTCTGAAATGTTTGTGGGAACTGATAGATGCTCTTTCAAATGAGTTCTATAGTCAGATAGGCTTGGGAGACTTGGAATAAAGAATTACTTTATGGCCGTACTATCTCAGAGCGAATAAAGAATTACTTTATTGCAGTACTATCTCAGAGCCTTTCCTATATTAATGTATGTTGTGACTTTGAATGTTTCCCAGACTTACTCATTTATGGAATACTTTTTTTTAAAGTGCATCTATTGACTTCTCCCAGAAGCATTGTTTAGAGAATAACTGTCTATAGAAACCTATCTTTTCTGCTTCTGTAACTTTGCTCATTTTGCACCTTCCATTTTCTCTCCAACTTTTGAAATCCTGCCCATTCTTCAAGGACCATCTAAAATGCCATCTCTACCTGAAGACTCTGAATGCAGTATCTTTCCTTGGAATCTCAATGATGTCTTCTTTGCACCTCTTTTCTGGTTTTTCAGATAATTTGGTGTCTTTTTTTTTTTTTTTTTTTGAGTCAGAGTCTCACTCTGTCACCTAGGCTCACTTATGGCTACCACAGCCTCAACCTGCTGGACTCAGGTGATCCTTTCACTTCAGCCTTCCAAGTAGCGAGAACTACAGGTGCACACTGCCATGCCTGGCTAATTTTTTGATTTATTGAAGAGATGAGGTTTTGCCAAGTTGCCCAGGCTGGTCTCAAACCCCTGGGCTCAGATAGTCCTCTTGTCTCAGCCTCCCAAAGTGTTGGAATTACAGGTGTGTGCCACCATACCTGGCCTGGTGTCATTTTTATAGGGCATTTTCCTTATCTCTCTTATTAGATTAAAATCTCCCTGAAGGTAAGGACTGCCTTGGATACCCTGTGGTACTTTAGTTTTTCACTATAGCAGAGGCTCAATAAGAATATAGACTTGAAACCAACCAGGGATTCCTTAAAACTAACATGTTTAAATTAACCTTTTACTTAATTGCACTTTTACATTGCTTTTGTTTGTTATACCTATCTGAATTATTTGTATTGAATAAAGAGACTCTTTATGGCCAGTATTGAAATTTCAAGAAGATTATTTTTATAAATCTACTGTCTTTATTTTGTGTGATGGTCATAAATTATATTATCAAGATTATAATAAACAGTTTCTGTCTATTAAATGCAGACATCTTGGTGACCATTTTACACACGTGCATATAGACTATTGTTTTATATTATGTTTTTTGTAGCAAAGACAATACAAGAACACCTCTAAAAATTAGGTGGTTCATACTATAATTTTGAGATTCACAGTTTTGAACAACCCTGTGTTTCAAAGGGGAAAAAAATAAGCACTTTCATTTTTTGCTTCCTAGTGACTCACCAACCAGGAAAGGTCGGGGTGTCAGTAGGAGGCAAAAATGAAAGTTACTGTTTCCTGTGAGACACCGGGCTGCCACACAACATAAATTTCAAAATTATAGAAGTGGTTCTGCATTTCTTTTCACACTGTTCCTTTGTTTGTACCTCCTGCTGCTGCTCCTATATGGGTGGACCTTTTTCCCTGTTGGAAATAGGCAAGTGTCATCCCAGGTTCTAGCTGCCTTGTGTCAGGTGGGGGAAGGGAGAAGTATTTTTTTCCCCCCTTTTCTGTGTTCACACTGATGGTGTGAGGCAGTGAAGGAAGGTTACCTGACGGGAGCTTATAGGCGTTATTGCTTATTAAGTTTTTGAAAAATGTTACTGGTCTCAGCATTATTTTAGGGGTCCTTGTTTAAGGTACACCCTCTGTTTGGGATTGACAAACTTTTTTTGTTTTCTTCCAGACCATTGTTCTGAGTAATGGGGGTGATATGGCAACACACGGTTAGCCCAGTGACTTCTTTCGCTTTAAAATGCTAATAATATAAGACTGGGCATAAACAGAAGATAAAGAAGTCAGCCAATTCCATGTTATAATGATAAGTGATGTATATTCTTGGCATATCCTTTCTTTTTCTTGTTTCAAGATGAATACTCCAACCCTATAATGCATAATTATGTGGTCTCATTTTTAAAAGAGTATAGGTTCCCCTTTTTGTTAAAGTTTGTAATGTGATATTTTTGTATCTTTATTAATGTTTTTCGAACTTAAGAGAAATGATTTTCTATCAGCTTTCTTCTCTCTCCTTCTTTCTCTCCCTTCCTTCCTTTCTCTTCTCTTTCCTCGAATCCTTCCACTCAAGTCTAGAAGATACTGAAAGGGTATGTTGATTAGATTCTTGTTTTATATATTTTCATTGCCTTTGAACTCTTGTATGTGAAACAATAGATTTAACTTTTTTTTTTTTTTTAACTTCAGACTATATAGAAGGTGGTGACAGAAATAGTAAAATTTTTACACTTTAAGACTAATTTTAAACAAAGGAAGTTTGCAACCAACTTTTTTTGATTTATGATTTATGGTTACTGGGTGTAGAGAGTATATAGTACATTCACTTTTTAATCATAAAGTTAACTATAAAAAATTATAATCAGGACAGAATTCTAAGAATTTCTGGGAATCATTAGGAGGAGGACTAATTTTAGTTGTAAAATAATCAGAGTCCTAAGTTGTGCTTTTTTTTTTTTTTTTTTTGTAAATTTGAACATAGTGTAATACTTTGGCTACCTGTGAAATAAGAAAAGCATCTCACCCAGATATACAGCTAGAAAAATAGACATTCCTTATTTTTACAGCATGGAAAGTATGTCTTAGAGTCTTCCTACTCAACCAGTAAGGTCAACTTTATGGCAGTGCAAACTGCAATCCATTTATGACTTTTCATCTCTGTGAAGTGAGTGTGAAAAGATGAGGTGAAATTTACCTTGGGTAGCATGTTCTGGGTCATAATGAGGGTTCATTGTGGGCCAGGATGAAGGTAGCTTCTAGTGGACTATTGAGTGGGTAAAGTTTTTCGTCACAATAACTATGTTACCTTCTTCTCTCTCTTATCTTCTAGAGTTACTTTCTTGATTAAATAAAAGTCGTTTGACTTGCTTCTTTTGATAAATTGATTTTGCCAAAGTATTTGTCATATGGCATTGAGTAGAGTGTTTCTATTTTTGAAAGTCTTTCCAGAAATTGAGATGTTATATATGTCTAGTAATAGTTTATTTCACTGAATAACTTATTGTTGGTACAGGAGAATAACCAGTAGTTGTTTTGAGAAATGAAAGACTCTTGCCATAGTTTAAATTTGTGACTGTGAAACCCAAGTAAAGTCTACTATTGCTTAGCAGTCATATCCTTGATCCATTCACTCCCTACTCACCTCACTCCCTACTCTCCTACTTCATATCGTTTCTCTTCTCAAACCCCCAACATACCTTCCCTTATCCTCACTCTTATCTGGTTCCCTTGCTTCCTGTTTCACTGAAAAAGCTGAGAACTTTTGCAGACTTCTGCCATGGATAGCCTCCTCTCAGCATCTGAACTCATGCAGTCTGCCTTTTCTGTTGTATCAGATGAATTATCCACTCTGCTTTTAAAGGCCCACCCTCCCATGTGCATCTCATCTGCATCCCCTATTCAATTTATGGACCATTATACAGGGCCAATACTACTATGCTGTTATTTTTCCCATCTAAATATCAAAACTAAACACAGTTTAAAAACTCTTAAGCAGTCTTTTAAGTCTCTTCTTTTCAGCTGTTAACATATTTCTCTCCTCCCCTTTACAGCAAAATTTCCAGAAAGATTTATCTGTAGTTCTGTCTCCCATTTCTCCTTTCTCTCTGAAATCTGTTCCGGTGAAGCATTCTCACTCACTATATACCCTTAGCTGTTCTTGTCAAGATTCCTGGTTACTTCATGGTGCTCCATCTGCTGGTCCATTCTCAAGGCTCATCTTACTTAACAGCTGCATTTGATAAGAGTTAATTATACTCTCTTCTTTGAAACCTGTTCTTTACTTGGCTTCTAGGAATCTTGTTTTTCTTTTGTCTTACTGATCTCTCCTTTGTTGATTTTTTTGTTACCTTCTACATCTCTTAACAATGGAGCACCCCAGGGCTCAGTTCCTAGGCCTCTTTATCC